TAAATTTCAAATAATTCAAACATTCTTAATTATTTCATTCTATTTTTATATCTCTAAAAAATTGTCAGTAAAGGGCCTGACTTGTTTAAGTTTGCTGTGACATATTTCTTCTGACATTTTATATTTAATTCCATTACATATTAGCTAACGTTTTAGATTTCTAAAAACTCCACTGTGTTTCAGTCGCTACGACATAACTTTCTTATATTTGTAGACGTTTTCATATTAATTACCTCTTTGAAATTAGAAATATGTTATCTATTTTTTCTAACAAATAGACAGTCAGTAAATGTAGTAACGTTGCCTTGGGCTTATTAGGCGGAATTTGACTTAATTTGAGATGTGGTTTTTATTATTCATTAAACGACAGAAAGTAATTTCAAAGACAGTTTGTATATATGCCTAATGTACTGATTACCCTTGAGTACAGAAGTCATAAATATTTTTTTTCATAAATGACTTTCTTTCAGCGTTATTATCTACTGCCTTAGTATAACGTCTTCATTCATGCTCACTTTCTTGGAAATATATTAAAGAGACCAGTTCTCTGTGATTAATTGGATTTCACTTAAACTGGACACGCGGCATTTTGGAATAACGACGCTATGATTTCGTTGTGATAACCCTCGTTTTAACATTAATTATTATTATCGATATCTTTGCTGACAAAAGGGCGACTTTAAAATGTATTTCCATTAGATTGCGTATACTTACACTTGTATGAAGGCGTAAAACATCAGCAGGTTGTTGCAAGTACTTTTTAGGTACAGTTGCTTCGCAGAATCTTGATTCAAAGATATGCTTTGTTTCCGTATTAGTTTTGATATTTCGAGTTTGTTTGAATTATGAATTTCTACTGAGCTTACTGTAAATATGAATAACGTTACGAGGAAACCTGTGAGCCTTATGGACATGTTTGTAGTATAAATATGAATAACGTTACGAGGAAACCTGTGAGCCTTATGGACATGTTTGTAGTATAAGTATGAATAATGTTACGAGTAAAACTGTGAGCCTTATGGACATGTTTGTAGTATAAGTATGAATAACGTTACGAGGAACACTGTGAGCCTTATGGACATGTTTGTTTTAAACTTTTTTAATAGTTTATTTGGAACACAAGTAACAGTTGTTTGATACATTTTGTGGTTCCTCAAGTTTATCCATATTTCTAATACTACAAACATGTCCATAAGGCTCACAGGTTTCCTCGTAACGTTATTCATATTTATACTACAAACATGTCCATAAGGCTCACAGGTTTCCTCGTAACGTTATTCATACTTATACTTAATTATTTGTAAACATTTTGAACCGGATGGAGATGTAGATTATCATTGTCCATACCACCACCACCCATGTATTTCCACTCATAAGACTTTTAATAGAGGGTGGATGATAAGTACTAAGATAAGATTTGGCAACATTATCAGAAGGCTAATTACTGAAGCTCCTTTAGTATTAGTTGTATATATATATAGAAAAATACTTAAAGAAATTTCTTAGAAGATTGCATATTTAGGCCGCACATTTACACTTACACTGCTATTTGTAAACGATATAAGTACCGACATAAAGCTGAAAAGATTGAACTAGCTTACACTTACACTGCTATTTGTAAACGATATAAGTACCGACATAAAGCTGAAAAGATTGAACTAGCTTACACTTACACTGCTAGTGGTTAACGATATAAGTACCGACATAAAGCTGAAAAGATTGAACTGGCTTACACCTACACTGCTATTTGTAAACGATATAAGTACCGACATAAAGCTGAAAAGATTGAACTGGCTTACACCTACACTGCTAGTGGTTAACGATATAAGTACCGACATAAAGCTGAAAAGATTGAACTGGCTTACACCTACACTGCTATTTGTAAACGATATAAGTACCGACATAAAGCTGAAAAGATTGAACTGGCTTACACCTACACTGCTAGTTGTAAACGATATAAGTACCGACATAAAGCTGAAAAGATTGAACTGGCTTACACCTACACTGCTATTTGTAAAATTAAAATATCCCTGGAAAGTTATAGATGTAATTATTGGCTATAACAACGATATTTCACCACTTGTAACACAAACAGTAATTTGTTACATTTCTAAAACGATGCATATCAAATATATTTAGATCTATTCTAATTGTTAGTCACAACTTGTAAGAGCTATGCTTGAAATCATGTGCAGCTTTTGGAACTCTTCCGTCATTGTTAATCATGCTCATTAGTCACAACTTGTATGAGCTATGCTTTAAGTCATGTGCCGCTCTTGGAAATCTTCCGTCATTGTTAATCATGCTCATTAGTCACAACTTGTAAGAGCTATGCTTGAAGTCATGTGCCGCTCTTGGAAATCTTACGTCATTGTTAAACATGCTCATTAGACACAATTTGTAAGAGCTATGGTTGAAGTCATGTGCAGCTCTTGGAAATCGTACGTCATTGTTAATCACGCTCATTAGTCACAACTTGTAAGAGCTATGCTTGAAGTCATGTGCCGCTCTTGGAAATCTTCCGTCATTGTTAATCATGCTCATTAGTCACAACTTGTAAGAGCTATGCTTGAAGTCATGTGCAGCTCTTGCAAATCTTCCGTCATTGCTAATCATGCTCAGTCTGACGACCATGATAACGCACTGCTGTATGATGCTGCATTTTCCATTGTAACGAGCTTCTGGAAAAGACGAAGATCTCGGGTTTATGTACGCTACACATCATGGCTTCCGAAACTACGTTTGCAAACTAAAGGCACAAAAATCTACTGGAGCTGTATGGAAAGATATATGTATGTGTGTTCGAATAAGAACGTCTTCATTACAGTTTATCTATCATTTTCGGCCATCTTTTTTTCACTAAACGGACGTTAATATAGAGGTGTGTCTAGAAGCTTGTGAACCTTTATCAACTGAAAAGTTTTGTTTCTGTTTTCTATTATGTACCGTCTCCCCGTGGGGCAGCGATACGTTTATGGACTTACAACGCTAAAATCCGAAGTTCGATTTCCCGCGGTGGACACAGTTGATAGCTCAATAATCTTCCTGATACTGTTTTCAGGAAAACAGTTCTTCTTGAGTTAATTCTTGATGGTATCGAGTTCTAGAGTTTTGTACTTGTAGTTTTAAAAGCTCCATGAGCTAACATAAAAATTAAATGATTCTTGAAATAAATAAAGTGAGAAACATCTTTACTTAAAATATACGACTTAAAAAGTTGGTTTATGACAATGGGACACCGGTAGCTTTGTTTTGTAATTTAAAATTTTAAGGTCTAAAAATTGTAAAACAGAATATTTTCTTCTTCTACAGTATTGGTTGTTATGAATTTCGCGCAAAGCTACACGAGGGCTATCTGCGCTAGCCGTCCCTAATTTAGCAGTGTAAGACTAGAGGGAAGGCAGCTAGTCATCACCACCCACCGCCAGCTCTTGGGCTACTATTTTACCAACGAATAGTTGGATTGATCGTCACATTATAACGCCTCCACGGCTAAAAGGGCGAGCATGTTTGATATAACGGAGATTCGAACCCGCGACCCTCAGATTGCGAGTTGAGCGCCCTATCTTCTACAGTAATGTTAATGTTTCGATGTCTTTCACTCAAATATAATAAAAACTTCTGAAGCTGGTATTTCGGTTTGAAGAGTACAAACGTGTTATCAACATAATTCTCAAACAGTATTGGCTTAAACTCATCTGGACACTGCTGTAACCATAGTAACCATGGAAAAATGTTAGCTAAACAAGGGGCTAATTTAGACTCCATTGCTATATCGGGTAATGAAGAAAAACTTTAATATAAGTTTAACATAACAGCAAAATAAAAGTGTTTCTTCATTACCCATTCAAGCCGTCTCCAAGCATTATTTACCCTAATAAGTTCTAGTGTGGTTGGAATACTATTATACATTATTTTTCTTGTAAAACCCTAAGGGACTAAATAAACAATTTAGGTTAAAGATATAATAGGCCTAATACTACTATTTTATGACAAGCATAATTAATTATAAAGCACATTATTAGTTTATGTAGAGTATCATTAATATTCATCCGTCTCATATTAGATTGTCCTCATAAGGTTTCCCGACATTTAATCTTTTTTATAATGAAGTTCAAAGATGAAATTCAACCATTCACAATTTGTAATTCCTCAACAAGATCCGCTTTTATTTACTTTACTTATGGTCTTTCTGTTGCTATAGTTGCTTTGTTGGTTTATGTATACTATCTGTAATGTTTCTGCTCGAACATTGCAAAGGTTTGTAATTCTTCAAATAATGATGAATTACGTACATTACTCGATAGTCAGAGAAATGATATGCTTTTATAAATAACGACGTAAATTAGCAGAAATGATAATTATTGAATATTGACTGCAAAGAATATCACCTGACTTTTTGTTCTGCCTTTGTCCACGGTTACAAGTTCCACTTAAACAGATCTTGTTCTTACAAGAGTTTCTTATCTATCAATCTGTTCAGTATAAGAACTTGTCTTTTCGCTTGTCTGCTTATCCCATATTTTTTTTTTTGTTTATTGATCACCCTGTCTTGACCAAACATCAACTTATATTAAACTTTGAGATGTATATATTTTTAAACTGTTCTATTTCGCAACGGAGGAATCAAATTATATTTTTCAAGGAAAACTCTATGACCAAGTAGATAGATTTTTTCAGACTATTCAAAACAATCTTATTAATATTATAACTCAAGTACTTAAAAATGAGTTCCACATAAAGTAAATTTAGTCATATTTTTCTATCCACAATTTATTTTATTAGCTAAAACCTCATTAGATTAAAGAAAATTTATTTTAAACTTAGTGTTGTTTTTTTAATGCTTATAGTGCCTTTTCACAGTTTAATTACTACATATTTCCTAAGGATATAATTATAGCACGATATTAACTGAGAAAAATAAAAAAGACATTTAAAAAGGAAAGTATTTTGTGCAAATTTATATAAAACTGTATATATAACAAGACATTAGCATGATAATGCGTAAATCTTTAAAGAATAGGTAAAACATAAAATACACAATCAAGTTCAACAAACCACGCTCCTCAATCTCCAGGGATATAGAAAACTATTATTAGTTCAGAACGGTTCAGAAAGGTCAACGTTCACAAGCGGAAGTAGAGAGTAAAAAGTAAAGAATAAAAAACACTTTCAAACAAGGTTAAATTCAAATTTTATTTCAGTATTGAGCATGTTTTCTATATTTTCGAATATTCTTATCGATTCTCTTGTGTTGCGTCGAAGGAAAAATTTTGGTTCAGCATTAGCTTTTGACTGATAGAAATTAATGTTTTTGCTGTTTGTGTAAACATGCAACGCGGAAGCTGATTTTTCAACTTCCTTCCATAGACAGTGGCCTTCATGTTCCTTTATTCTAATTGAAATAAATCACTTTGTTTAACCAATGTAAGCACAATTAAAAGAACAGGAAATTGAATGTATACCATGCCTATGGTGGACTTCTGTCTTATATTTCCCTTTTTGAAATGTATTTCAAAATTTGTCCATCAGCTTATAAGTTGGTTTAATTTTATTAGGCTTTAAAACGGCCCCTATTTTTTATATCAAAGGACTGTAAGGTATTGTTAGATAATGACCATTTCTTGATCTATCTGCAGTTGTTTGGTTCACTTTATTATTCAACGTTTTAATTTAGTTGAACAATTTAGTTATTAAATTCTCGAAACACAGCCATGTTTTTGAGGTAGTTAATTTTATAAAGAATGTTTTTTATGTTGGAACGAATGTCAAATGAGAATAAGGATGCCTACATTTAACGTGGAAAAAAGATTTTTTTCTGTGCATAACTTGCCATCTGTACATCGTGTAACCAAAAGTATGTAGTTGTTACATTCTAGTTCATAAGTGAATTCTATGTCGGGATAAACTGAGTTTAGTTTATCATGTCATCATCATGTCGTACATAGAAATTTGGTTTTTCATTCAATTCAATGAAGAACTTATTTCTAAAAGTCATCCGTGAAGATGACACAAAGTAAAGGGCATCAGAGGACCCATGCTAAGGCCGTGTTTTGTTGGGAAAAATCCATATTGAGTTGGTGATACACAGTCTAACTAGGTGCATATCTTCATCTTTTACAATAGGCGAGGTAAAAAGTTCGTCTTTTCTTTTATATAATGTCTTTATGTCTCCATCTATTGGAATTTTTGTTATTAATCTTTCAAAGTAAAAAATATACCATGATTTTTCCTTTATTTTTTTATTTGTTAAATTTTGAAGTTTTTTTTAGAGTATACATTTTTAAATCCATTAGTGAAGATAGTGTGTTCATTAAATATTTGGTCAAAGGAGAGGTCGGAATATTGCTGTAAGCTACAATCAGTCTAAAGGGAAATCCTCTTTGTGCAGTTTGGGAAGTGCATAGAGTCTGGAGGAAATAATATCCCAAGGTATAAGATTTAATTTCTGTCGTTTTGTTTTGGTTAAGCACAAAGATACATAGTGAGATATTTGTTTTCTGCCCACCACGAGTATATAAACCTAAATTTTAGCGTCGTACGTTCGAAGGCTTATAACTCTGAAAATCTGGTTTCGATTCCCGTGGTGGGCACAGCACAGACATCCCATTGTGTAGCTTTATGCTTAACTACAAACAAACAAAACTTATCACTGAGGCACTGGAGGATTCTCCTTCTGTTAAACTTTAAAATGTTCTTGATTTCTGATTTGAAATGTATCGAAATGCGTTTAGTTGAAATATGAACCGTCGCCTGACAGTTTATTGACACCGTCGTTATAATGTTTATTGTTTATAAATATGATTTAGCCATCTTAGTCAGCTTTTGTTAAAAGAATTTCTTCATTGTTCTATAAGTACTTTAGAATTGGTTAGATTAGGGTTAGGAACTAGATTACTTTTTAACATATTACAAACCTCGAGTCTAATCGCTGATTGGTTAAATATATTTAAATCAAGTAATTTTGCTTCAATTTCATTAATGTTTGCATTGTAGGCTATTCTTCTTGGGGGAAAATTAACCTCAAGCGTAGTACATCAAGTTTATCTTCTTGTAAAATAACAAAAGGATCAGGTTGAATTGAGGGAAAGAGAGTAAACAATGGTCTCTATGAGCATAGGAATAAAAATCATCATGAAATACATGTCAATAGTGTAATTATTTCAGGAAGTGCAAATAAAATAATAATATTAGAAACTTTAATAATTAAGAATAAAAATACTAGTCTAAAAAAATTTCTGTATTTGTATAGTCGAATTCTGGTCAAGCTCTATGAATGTTGAGATTTTGTTATATTAGTCTGTAACACCAGCACGAGTGTTTAATAGCCCTGTGATGTGATAGTGTCTCCCTCTGTAGAGATGAAATATAATAAAAAAACTTACCCATTTGAGACTGCATTTTAGAAATGTGGATGTGTTTCTAAAAACATTTTCAAACATATTTTTCAGCAGTTCACTACGTGATATCAGCTTTAACATCGGAGATTATGATGTCTCGAAAACTTTTGAGAGAGAGAACGTTTATCGAAATGCTAAAAAAATCATTCAACACCCAGCTTTTGACTTTAATACCTATGACAACGACATTGCTATTGTAGAAATGGAAAAGGCTGTGAAGCTTGATCCCTCTAAGTTAAAAACTGCCTGCTTACCCCCACTAAATTCAGACCTGAGTCCCGGAACACCAACATCCGTTATTGGGTGGGGTCGTCTCGGATTTGGTAAGTCTGGATGTTTATTATACTTGGAAAATATGCATCTCATCCTCCGTTTATTTTTTTCAGTAGTTGTATTTTTTATTATGTTGATATTATTTCGAGATAACATAAAGTCGCCTGTTTAGAATTTTTTTAAGATTAAGGGCCCTAATATCAAACAACGGTCTATAAGACCCTAATACCCTATAGTACTCTAATACGCTAATATCAAACAACGGTCTATAATACTCTAATACCCTATAGTACTCTAATACGCTAATATCAAACAACGGTCTATAATACTCTAATACCCTATAGTACTCTAATACCCTAATATCAAACAACGGTCTATAATACTCTAATACCCTATAGTACTCTAATACCTTAATATCAAACAGCGGTCTATAATACCCTAATATCAAACAACGGTCTATAATACCATAATACCCTAAATGTTGTCATTTCAGCTCTAGTTCTAGTTATAAAAGGTACTTTGGTCTTCATCATGTCGTAAGGACTATTCAATCTTAATTTGGTCTTCATCATGTCGTACGGACTATTCAATCTTAATTTGGTCTTCATCATGTCGTAAGGACTATTCAATCTTAATTACTACTCAGTTTGTTATTTATAATAACTATACATATATGTTATACAGAGCCATCTGCCCTTTAAAAACAAAGGCTTAGATATTTTTATATTTGTTTGTTTGAAATTAAGCACAAAGCTACACAATGGACTATCTGTGCTCTTCCCACCACGGGTATCGAAACCCGGTTTCCAGCGTTGTAAGACCGCAGACATACCGCTGTGCCATTGGGGGGTGGGCAGATATTTTTATAGGATTTACACTAGATATTTATACTGCTAAAGACAAAGTTCTTCTACTAACATCTATATAACCGCTGTGCCATTGGGAGGTGGGCAGATATTTTTATAGGATTTACACTAGATATTTATACTGCTAAAGACAAAGTTCTTCTACTAACATCTATATAAAGCAGAGTTGTATTTTAACATGCATAAAAGCTATCCACTTACATGCTTATCTTATATTGAAGTAATCACTTGGGCAACTAAAATATTTATCAATAATTCAAAGCAGTTAAATATCAGTTCAATGAAGAATAGGAAAGGTACAAAAAAACATATGCAACGAGTTAAAAAAATAATTATATTTTAATGTAATTGATCAGTATAAAATACTTTATGTGATATAACAGCATTCTGATAAAGGTTCTACATATCGGTTGAAAGGTAATGAAAAAATAATAACTATTGCATCCATTTTAACAACATCTAATCTTGATTCAGTGCCGCTTCACAGGCCAAGCTCTACCACGCGTAAAAGATATTTGTTCTAGTGTCTAGAATGTACAATATTATCTTACTAACATATCTGGATTTCTGAAAACCATGCACGTACAGCTTCTTATATTTTTTTATGCAAAGTTACACAATTGGCTATCTGCTCTCTGTCCAAATCTAGGAAATCGAATCCCGGATTTTAGAGAGTTTTAAGTCCTTAAATTGACCAACCAGAGATCTCACAGAAAAGATAGATCACTCTTAATTAATACCAAAAAATCGTTCGAAACATGCTTGGTCTTTTTCTTTCATTTTCTCTTGCGGAAGTTTTATCTAATATTTTTTTGTTTCTGTATTATATTATACAGCGTGTTACCAGTTTGTTTTTTGAATTCTTAAAGTTCCGGAGAAAAAGTAAAACACAAAAAACATTACCTTATTTTCGTCAACAGACAATACAGAAACGTCATCTATCCTTCAACAAGTAGACGTTCCCGTGGTAAGCAGAAAGACGTGTCAGGTACCTCTTAAACACAACATATCTGAGAATATGATGTGTGCTGGAGGAGAAGAAGGCAAAGACGCTTGCTTGGCAAGTATATTTTTTTACTACTGTGTTAAGAATTTGTCATTATAATTAAAAACTTCTCTAGAAGAAACAGAATGACACATTTATTTAAAGTTTGCCTCTCCTTATAAAGATACGATTGTCATGAAGAGCAGGCCTACTTTTGTTGGCTCTCGTTATAAAGAGACGATTGTCGTGAAGAGCAGGCCTACTTTTTTTGGCTCTCGTTATAAAGAGACGATTGTCGTGAAGAGCAGGCCTACTTTTGTTGGCTCTCGTTTTAAAGAGACGATTGTCGTGAAGAGCAGGCCTACTTTTGTTGGCTCTCGTTTTAAAGAGACGATTATCATGAAGAGCAGGCCTATTTTTGTTGGCTCTCGTTTTAAAGAGACTATTGTCATGAAGAGCAGGCCTATTTTTGTTGGTTCTCGTTTTAAAGAGACTATTGTCATGAAGAGCAGGCCTACTTTTGTGATATGGCTCTAGATATCATATGTATAATTTAATTAAAATTGTTCTCACTATAAATCAGATTTTTACCTATAAAAAGCTTATAATATTTAATCAATAAATTATAATATAAACTTACTACAAATAATAATTAAAATACTAAAATTAGCGCACTATTTTTGTGACATGTTGTGTTTCAATTAATTTGTATTAATGTGGCCATTATATTTTAATATTGAAACATTTTTCCAATAACTATATTGTCGCTTAAATTAGTAATTTTCAGGACAAAAAATCTGTTTTACAACAAGCCAAAATAATTTGTTAGCTGTGATGCCGAACGCTTCTAAATTTCTTTTAGGCTTGATTTTCGCTTCATCCAGTGGGTGTGCTTACAGCGCTCCCCAGGTTTCGTAGTTGAATTTTGTTGGGATACAAAAATGCTATATGTTTTAGCTCCAGTTCTTATTTGGTTACAAAAATAGTTCTGATGAAGGATAAGATAACACTAAAATCCATCATCATATCATATTTCTACCTTTGTGTTAGTTTTATCTTGATAATATTACGTTCAATAATTTAGATATTATATGCAATTCAGATAGGTTAATCCTGATACGTTTCTGAACATGTAAAAATGACGATAATCTCTTTGTGGGACAAATTACTTATTGTTAATCGTTTCTTCGATCAAAGCGAGACTTTAACTAGTTTTTCTCGTTTTATTTATGTTTAATTTTTTCATTCACATAATGATTTTTCTTGCTTTACGTAAATTCATCGCGCAATGCTTCTTTTAGGGAGACTCGGGAGGCGGCTTGATGGTCAGGATTGACAACGATTACGCTTTGTGCGGTTTGGTGTCATTTGGTAAAGAATGTGCGAGAGCAGGCGTTGCTGGCGTTTACACGCGTGTTAGTCGCTACATCGACTGGATATTAGAAATTACAGAAAACGCTGGTTGTCGCCCTTACGTCGTATCTGTTTCTGATTATCCCAAATAGAGGAAAGTTACGTCTCTGCAAATCGTCTAAATAAAAAAATAATGACGCTCTTAGCTAAACTGGATAATGTTATTTCACACAATAGAAATTAATTAAATAATTTTATTTACAATGGAAGAAGTTAGCTTTGTTTATTAAATAAGACCCGTTGTTTATTCTGTTGCTTTGCTTTTAATGTATTTATAAATATTATCTCTATAATAGTATGATTCGGTACCAGTTTTTCCCTGTTCCAATTTTATCTTTGGTTAGAGATTTGAGAAAGTAATATAAGAATAAAAGCTCATTAAAAATAAAGCCCTGTTTGTATGTCAGAAACATTACTTCCACTAGTTAACTCATATTATAGATTTACTAAAAAACAAATATACGTTGAGTCATATTCTTTTGAATTTTTTATTATTTTTTTTGCATGGCTAGTCGAGTCGCGGGTTCGAATCCCCCATCACACCAAACGTGCTCGCCCTTTCAGCCGTGGGGGCGTTATAATGTGAAGGTCAATCCCACTATTCGTTGGTAAAAAAGCAGCCCAAGAGTTGGCGGTGGGAGGTGATGACTAGCTGCCTTCCTTCTAGTCTTACACTGCAAACAGCCCTCGTGTAGCTTTGCGAGAAATTCAAAAAACAAACAAACATGACTATTACTTGTCTTCGAATGAGACTTTTATCATTAAGCACCGTAGAGACTTTAATTTGTTATCGTACACTTTTGTAAAGCATTCCAGTTTAATATTCCAAGCATGACTATTACTTGTCTTCGAATGAGACTTCTATCATTAAGCACCGTAGAAACTTAAAATTGTTATCGTACAATTTTGTAAAGCATTCCAGTTGAAAATTCAACCAGAATCAGCTTCATAACTTCAACCATACATTCATAACGTTGTGAAGTACATTAACACCAAGATATATCTCCATAGTTGTAAATCGTGTAACTGAATGACTTCTAGTTAAAGTGCTTCTAGCTGTGTTCATAGAATCGTATTATACACCCGATTGATCCCTTAATGTAATTTAAAATTTATGGCGCTTACATTTTGTTTCTTCTGCTTGTTATTTTATAAAAACGTTTCTACTGTGCATGACTGTATAGACTTAAAGACAGAAACGACTAAAATAACATCGCTACTCTATGTTAAGGCAGAGGTTTCAAATTATGTATATGTTTTACAACTGTTTTCTTAATTCTAGATGTAAATAAAAATGTACAATTATTCCAGAATTGGTTGTACGTAACAGACTTAATCGTTCCTGAAGGTCTAACCCTGATTAGATAATTTTTAGAGCCCCCTAAAAAGGACCAAACTATATTTATATCAGCTACTATGTTTGTTTGTTTTCGTATATTAATGAAAAGCTACTCGTGATATATGCGTTAGTTGTCTCTAATTTTAACTTGAAGGAAGATAGCTATCCACAGCATCACTGCTAACTATTGAGCTAATTTTGTCAGAGCGAATAGTGGGATTTGACCGTCACACTTGTAACACACCGATGTCCTCAAAGTGCTGAGCGCAATTTTCTTTTTCTTTTGGTATTTTTTTATGTAATTTATATTATTAAAATTATTCATACACACGCACATATATATATATACAAAAAGACACAGGGTTGAGCACGTTATCTTAAACCAATTTTGAATATGTAAATCAGCAATTCACGTGACATACACGATTACATATTTATATATTTGTTTAAAATTTCATTTTCATATTGAAACTATTGTCAGCCATAATTTTAATTTTGTAGTTAATTATTTAACATCTCAATGCTTGTAAAATTTAAGACATCTCTTCGATGCCCATAAGTACTGAAATATATTTTTTCCTTTTGGGTAACTTCTCATATGTAAAGAATTTTCCTCTATTTTGTATTCAGTTGGTTTCCTTGAGTGATAGTGGTGATAAAGCGTGTAGTTATCGTAAATCTTTGCACTACAGTTTTTTTCCAGACTGTAATACATGTGCTGAATAGTGTATTACTTGTATATTGTATATTTTCTCATCGACATATAAACATTTGTTAGCTTAGTGACTTCATTTCTCTTGGAAGGAGAAACAAAATATCCATGTAGAAAAATCTGGATATCCACTGGCTATTGTTTCTGTATTACCGTATTATATTTTGTGTTTCAACGCACTTCCTGGTCTTATTCTCAGTAATCTGTAATTACAGACTGAAGTTTAAAAAGTATATTTTGGTAATTAGCTATTTCCAGCCATGTTTTTTTGCGAGCGTTTTAATTTACAGTATTTAGACTTTCCTGAATATTCTGGCAATTTGCCACATGTACTTTCCAATGATTTTGTTTTTCCTTTTAAGTCATTTCACGCCTAAAGTTAATATGTTGTGTACTAATGTATTGATCTATACATATTTTACCAACATAGAGTAGTATTTGAGCTAATTGATAAGTTATTTTGCTGCTATTCTTAAAACATATTAATAAAAGCAGTTAATTAGTTTTTATTTCTGCAATATCTTTAATGGCGTTTGTCTGAGAAGGATTAGAATGTCATAAATAATTTAATTGTTGAAACTTATTTCATAGAGGAAAATATAGTGGTGAAAAAAGTGCATTCAGCATTAATTTTATTCTATAAATACTGGTAAGATTGTCAAAGCACATTTTTAAAACGGTTAATATAAAGGCCTATAGTTTTAAAAAGTTATATAAAAAAAATGTTTTGTTGTGATATTTTAGTACATTTATTTTTGTTTCCAGTGAGGCATTAAGGTATAATACACAAGCACAAACCTCGTTTTGAAACTTATAATGTTTCATAATGAGCTAAAATTGGGAATCCAGTTATAGTTAGCCGTAAAAAACTTTTTAAAAAATTATATCGGTTATAAGTGATACCTTATTTGTAAATTTATCTTCAGTGTTAATAATTCTTGACTTAAATAATTTTAAATGTTTTATTATTGATTCTTTGATAGCAAGTAACATATTATTATTAATAATCTCGTTTTAATGTCTAAATGGAAATCATCACAGTATGAATACTGTTTATAAGACAAATCATGGTAATTATCTTGAAATAAGTTCACATATAGGACTGGCTACGTTTACTCATGAGCACATGTATAACAAGCACCTCCAACACTATTATGATAAATTTTGTAAATTAAATTTCTTTTACCACTTTACCCAGCTAAAAGCGGCAACAAACGTGTTGAAATCACTAACATAAAAATAAATTAAAGTTCTTTCAGGCACTTCAGAGTCTGTTCAGTGTTTTCATGGCTTCTCGCAATCTGAAAGATTAAAAATATTTTCATTGTTCTCATTAGGAATTTAAATTCAAGGTACTCAAGATTGATTTTAAGTTGTCATTCCAAAACACAAAAATGTACGATAAGCTAAAGGACAAATTGTTCTCATTAGGAAGTTAAATTCAAGGTACTCAAGATTGATTTTAAGTTGTCATTCCAAAACACAAAAATGTACGATAAACTAAAGGACAAATTGTTCTCATTAGGAATTTAAATTCAAGGTACTCAAGATTGATTTTAAGTTGTCATTCCAAAACACAAAAATGTACGATAAGCTAAATAACAAATTATTCTCATTAGGAAGTTAAATTCAAGGTACTCAAGATTGATTTTAAGTTGTCATTCCAAACCACAAAAATGTACGAGAAGCTAAAGGACAAATTGTTCTCATTGGGAATTTAAATTCAAGGTACTCAAGATTGATTTTAAGTTGTCATTCCAAAACACAAAAATGTACGATAAGCTAAAGGACAAATTTGTTTATCTGTCATCTCATCTGAAAGTTTTTCAATTAGTTTGTTTTAATTTGCTTATTTTCTATTAAGAAATTATCGAAAAGTTCTATTAAATATTCATATATATGCTAACGTTTGTTATAATCCTACCTTCACGAAAAAGTTTGAATGCTTTTCTATATCAAATCTAACACTATCATAATGATTCGGGCTTCGTGATTAAATTCCTTAATATAGAAAGATACCTCAACTACAAGAGAAAAAAGAAATGTAAACCAATGAAAACCCCGTATTGAGTTTAAACATGAAAGGAAATACCATGTACAGTAATATGTATTATATTTCTCTATGTATCTCGGGTTGTCATAAAAGAATTACTTCCTTTATTAACTTTTATGTCTTTTTTACGTTATTAGAATTCCTCTTCGGCTCCATAATGTGTATTTTTCATCTTCTTCACTCCTCATTATAATGTTCTATTTGTTAGTAAGCTCTGACTTATAGTAAATTCGATGACGAGGAACCCACTTTGAGACTAATAATTGCTGGATACGGCTTGATTTATTCAAAACAATCTTATTAATATTATAACTCAAGTACTTAAAAATGAGTTCCATATAAAGTAAATTTCTATTTTTCAGTAAGTTTACAAAATGGTTATTATGCCATTAACTCGATATAACTATTGAAGAAAAACTGTCGAATAACTTGAAAATGTCGGTTAATCACGTGATTCACGGTCATGGTGTTTTTGTATTTCCACCATGTGTTTCACTACATATGTGAAAGAAAGAAATTAGTTCCATTGTTTATTTTACAGATTGAATTGCACACTCAAGAGGATTCCAGTAAGTATTTACAGTTTTTCTCAATAGAATTAAGAAAACTGCCTTTCATTTTCCTGAGTGTAACAGAAATAGGTTCAAGAATTGATATTTCAAAATTTTTATTATTTATCCTCAAAATCAAAAATCAGTTAGGCCCAGTCGGTATTTAAAGTCTTATGTTACAGTTATATTTATTCCTTCTCTAATGAGGTCGTTTTTGGGCGACCAAAAATTGACTACTAGCGAGTAAAACCACTAATAACGCAGCTGATTGGGAGAGGGTTTTTCTTAGAAACGTGAGCAAGGCTAAGCCTAGCGATTATGGTGTTAGATGAAACAGTTCGTGGTGGTTATCGTGTCACGTTGAGGATCAAACGGTTCTAGGTTTGAGTGATAATTTCGCTAAACACACTCCGTAATTTTCCTGTGGGCGCATTGTAAATATGACAGTCAGTCCAATTATTCTTTCCAAAGAAGGGGGGGCAGAGCCATAGTTCCGTTGTGTACTGCTGCCTGACTGCATTCCCTCTGATCAATAGCTGAAAGTTAGGAATGGCTATACCTAAATCCTAGGGATCTCTGACTGACCGCTTAGCCCACTTGAGCATAAGATGCAGGTTAAAAATTTCAATTTCTTTGTAAATTAAGGTACATTCTTAAAACGTTTATTTATATCTTATATATGCTAAGAGATTTCTCTTACAACTTAACATAGATTAAAGAGGTTATAAATTCCCAATGAAATTGGACCTGTCACATCGAAATTTGGTATTTGAACAATGCTAAATAACACCGAGGCTAATAGCTTAAAATAAATCAGTTTGTAATCATTTTCATAATGATAAAAAAATACATGTGCACCCTAATACATATTCAGAAGGATTTGGATCACTACGATGAGAACTGAGAATATATATATATATATATTCATTCTTTAGCTTGGCCCAAGAATATTAACATTTCCTAATAAAAACACGGATAAAGATATTTTGTAATTATTATTTGATAAAGTGGATTTATTCCTGTATTCTCTTATAAATTGCTTAGATTTTTTTCATCTAAAATTGACTCAACGTTTCAGACTTATGGTTTCGTCAAAAACAAAACGTCAGATGTTTTTCTATTAAACATTATAATACATGAGAGAATAATTATCATACTGTTTTTCGTATTAAATATAATTTTAAACTCTTTAATAACAAATAATCATTTAGGTTATTTAAAATCTATTATTTATTTATTTATTACATTCAACTTACATACCTATATTGTTTTACATTCCAATGGCTAAGCAGGAACTGTTTGCCCGTGTGGGAGTATTTCTTCTAAGCTCACGGATAGAGTTGTTGGAGGATATAACGCTGCAACTAATGACTTTCCTTATGCTGTAAGTAATGTTTTCTTGTTGTCTCTCACCTAATTTTAGCTTTATTTACAACAAACAGACGTGCCTGGCCAAATGGCGAGCGTGCTTGAATGTGAATCAGAGGGATCATAGTACGCTAACTGTTGTCGCTCTTAACACGTTCCGCACTTGGGGATAATGGGTGCGTTCTAAAAGCAATCATCGAATCCCACTATTCGGTAAGACAATAATAAACCAAGAGCTGGTTGTGTGCGCTGTTGACTAGCTGCCTTTCTTCTAGTCTACCAAGAGCTGGTTTTGTGCGTTGTTGACTAGCTGCCTTCCTTCTAGTCTACCAGGAGCTGGTTGTGTGCGCTGTTGACTAGCTGCCTTCCTTTCTAGTCTATCATTTCAAAATTATGAAAGACTGTGCGCAGAAATCTAACGTCGATTTATTTATGACGATTATATAATATACCTTAAAACCTGTACACAGAGTTTCGATTACCTCAAAGCATACTAACCACTTTAAATTACAATTCAAAATATACAAACTACTCAAACAACATTATTTTCTCAAATTATGCTAGCTCGGTGTATTTTAATAACTCAAAGTCTAAGTATTGGAACCATACTAACTGCTTCAGTAATACGAACTTGAATTATACTAATTACTTGAAATATACCAACCAAAACTATATTTACCGCTCAAGTTTTACCAACTCCGGCCGAGTATCGAAGTTAGGCACCTAAACCCTAATCTTTGTGGCAAATAACGCTGTACTGAAAGTTACATTCGATAATTGATTTAGTTAGAAAAAAAAAAACGTGTTCCGAGCAACAAAGACTGACCGCCCGCTGAAAGTTAATAATATCCAATTATTAGCGAACAAGGTAGCCTGATGGATGCGTAGTTGCTTGAAAACCATCAGATCATAGGGCTGAAATGGACATCCTACGTTAAATCGTGAGACTGGCAAAGCTAGAGAAGGGTGCTCTTTACGGTTGAATCCGAATTTAAATAGCTTAGATGTTTGTTTGTTTTTGAATTTTGCGCAAAACTACATGAGGGCTATCTGCGCTAGCCGCCCCTAATTTAGCAGTGAAAGACTAGAGTAAAGGCAGCTAGTCATCACCACCCACCACCAATTCTTGGGCTACTCTTATTGGGATTGATCGTCACCTTATAACGCCCTCACGGCTGAAAGAGTGAGCGTGTTTGGTGTGACGGAATTTTAACTCATGACCCTCAGATTGCGAGTCATGCACCCTAACCACCTGGCCATACGAGGCCATCAAATTGCTTAGAAAGAATCAATGATAATTTGTTCAATGTCAATGAGGATAACTGTGGAACTAATAAAAGTGTTCACTCTATTTTAGTCAGTGGTGTTAAAGGTCTACACAGAATTGATGGTACCCTGACTACTAACAAGTATAAACATGTCCTTATCCATCATAGATAGAAAGTTATCTTCTGTAAGACAGTAATCACAAGCATTAACCGATACCTGTTAGTAGAGGTCAATGAAACACTGGCAACCGTCGATTGACATGCAAAAAGTCCCAATAGGAATATCATTAAGACTCTGTAGACTTGTATAAAAATTGACAAGGTCAAAAAGCAATCATTCAACTTGGCCGAATTATGGAGGGTTATACAGGACATTTGATCTGCGGTTCGAATCCCGTTCTCGAACATGCTTGCCCTTTTGTTGTTGGGGTGTTATAACGTGGCGGTGCATCCTACTATTCGTTGGTGATCAGTAACCCAAGAGTTGACGTTGGGTGGTATCGACTAGCTGTCGTCTCTCTAGTCTATTGTTTCAAATCTAGGGACGAATAGCGCAAATAGCCCTCGAGTAACTTTGCGCGAAATTCATAAAAAATTAGCATAAATTGATAAACTTGAAATAGCATAAAAACAAGATGTATAGCTCTGTTTAACTCCTTCATTACAATGGACACATATATATCCTCTCTAGAGCACTGTGATGGTCACATATATATCCTCTCTAGAGCACTGTGATGGTCACATATATATCCTCTCTAAAGCACTAAGATGGTCACATATATTGTGCACAATCTACAACTTTTGTTTCAGATTTCAGAAGTGAGAGTTTAACCACATTTGAGTTTGAAATTTTATATTTCCGTGAAGAAAGGGTACTTTTCTTCAAGCTTCACAAAGTTTACAAGTTTTAAGCCTTAGGTAAGTATTCAAATATTAAAACACGTGTCTTGTTGTTGTTATTTTTTTATTGTGTATCTAAACTGAAATTCGGCACTAAGTTAACTGTTTCTATATAAACGTGGCTGTGAAAGATTTAAGGCAAGTACAAAATATAAGTGTATTGCAATGTTGTTATTGTTACTTTATATTTCTTGTTTGTTTTTAAGAATAAGTATATTCAATGGGTTATCTGTGCTCTGCACACTAAAAGTATAGAAACCCAGTTTTTAGTGTTATAAGTTCTTACACTTACCGCTGAACAACCGTGAAGCGTGTATTGTACTAATGATAAAATACTCATTCTGAAATTACTCATTGTTTGTGATTTTTATTCAAGTTCCTTAACAATAATTTAACTTAGGTGTGATTAGGAGTGACAGGTGGGTAAGGAAGATTTGTATTAGAATAAATTCCAAAGAAAATATGCTTCTAAACGTATGTAGAATATTAAGAAATGCAAATATAGAATTATTTTATGTAATAATTGTTCAGAACAAAATAAAACCATTGTTAATTTTGTATTTTAGATTGGATTGCTCTCAGAATCGCTGGAAGGTCGGTCCATGTCTTACTGCGGTGGAGTGCTAATTACCGACCGCCATGTTCTGACAGCTGGCCACTGTGTTGATGGGTAAAGTGTACTTTTCCTAACTGAAAGAAAACACATTTTTTCTTGTAGGATTCGGAAAACTTATTTTGCTAATAACGAACTGTATGTCACGTCAAGATAGTTTCAAACACTTGGAAATTGATCACGTGTTTCTAGTAACTCGCAGAATATCTGTTCAGTAGTCAAGTGGTTGTTTTGTATCCATTAACTTGCTGAGTTAACTAATTTATTTGTTGGTTAACTTGTTGCTTAGATTTTGTTCTTCTTATGTACGTCAACAACCAATATATAATATAGTAGATAATATTTCATCTTCACGAATAGCTTTTCACATTCGGTGTTGAATTTATGTCATAAACATATAAACATGTCATTCAGTCTTCTACAGTAGAATGTTCCATTATTTCTGGCAGAAGTACCGTTGTACCTTTTTTTTTACATGGTGTAAACATGTATATAATGTTTTTAGCCATAGAACATATTAACCATTTTTTGTCTCAACAATCTAAATCTATCCCATTTTAACCTCATTAAAATCACTACTTATTATATGTTTATAGTTTTAAGAAACTGACTTTGAGGTCGACTTAAGTCCAAATATAAATATATTCAACACCTACAAAAACGCTTATCCAATAATAAAAGTTTTTATTATTGATTACATCAGATATTTTGAGACATATGAAAAAAAAAACACAAAACAATTGTTGGTAATATTTCACCAAATAAGGATTTTATGTTAAAAAAAAGCTAAGTTAACGACTGTCTAGAATCTTATAAAGTGTTATTAGTTTGATAATATGTTATTTAAAATTTTATTTAGGGGTGACTCTTTGCTAAGTGGATATGTTCAACACTTTTTCTTTACTGTTTGTTATTGGATCTTTCTAAAATATTTGGCGGTTCTATTCTATCGATCTTTCTGACAATTTTCTAGAGTATTCATTGGAGCTACTGATCCTAAATTTTTAATTTAACTGGTTTTATCAGTTCAAAATTCATTATCGTATTCACACGGAGCATACAACATTCTTATTGGCTTAGTGGACATTTCTTGTGTATCTCATGGGTTTTCATTAAACCATAACGGAAAATTCGGTATATTTTGTGTTATTATTTACAGTTTGTCTAAATATACTCATTTTGAAATACCTTTCAAACATAATATTGTTACATTTTTGCTACATCTATGATGTATACGTCCTGAGTAATTTTCTTGAATTATAATATTTTTGTCTCTGTGGTATCACCTGCGTTCTTTTATAGTGTATTTATAATTTTAAGGTGACATGGCTTGTAAACATAATACTTACCAATGCCAAGTAGTGTACGCAACAGTAATAAAGCTATTTCCTGTTCCTTCTGATCTTTATATTCAAAATATAAAGTCTGTTGGTAAATGCTTCCATTATAATTTACGCTGTGGTTGTTTAGATTGAGTTAGATAATTATTGGTTGTACTTACCTTGTGTTAGAGTTACATAATTATTGGTTGTACTTACCTTGTGTTATATTTAAATAACGAAACAGAGGATAACATTACATCTCAATGGGCTTAATATCCTTCACAGAGTTCACGGTAAATGGCAGGTACTTGTTTTGTTTTGTTTTCGATTTTTTTTGTTTTCAAATTTATCCTGTGTAATGACTTGTAGAAAACAAAAGATAGACCTGAAAGACTTTTTACACTCACATCTCTCGTTTCAATCCCGTAATGGATAGATTAGCAGGAATGTAACAAAATAACATATGAAGTCAAACCTGGTATTTATCACGGCTGTTACGCCTATTGGATTCCGATTCAAACCGTTTCTTTAAAACTGAACTATTACATATAGACATTGAGACAAACTCACTAGCTTTCCCTTTTCAGACCGTTATTTTTTAATATATTGTAATTATATTTAAAAACCGATAAAAAAGACTTGATGAACACCTAAAACAATCTAAATTTAATATGCAAGTATTCATTTTATTTCGATTTTTTCAGACATTAGGTGAAAATATATTAACATACTCATTATTGAAAACAAAACAAAACAGAAGAACAGCACAACAGAAAAAACACTAATAATGTCATGAAAGCAGTACATTTTAAAGTTTTTAAAAACAAGGTTCTTGTATTAAGTTTTTTTAACCATTATAGAACCACCAAAACTCCTCAGAAGATGTACACTCTGTAAGGGATGTGTTAAAAGTACATTCAAATAGTACCGGTATTTAGTACTTCATGGCAACGTAAAACTACACCAGGGATATCTGCGCTAGCCGTCCTAATTTAGCAGTGAAAGACCCACCCACCGCCAACTCTTGGGCTACTCTTTTATCAACAAATAGTGGACTTGATCTTCACATTATATCGCCCCCACGACTGAAATGTTTGGTGGGACAATTAAGGTATTACAATTTCGAAAGGTCTGAAACTGAGCTAAGCGATACTTTAAATTTAGTAGTTAAATTCTACTTTGGATTTAACAGTTAAGTACAAGCCGATATATAGTTAGTTTATGATATTTGCCAACAAGATTGATACACACAGTATTCTTTTTTTTTAAATATCAATATTTAATTATTATGTATTATTCATCTAATTGATTTAATTTTATGATAAATTATGCATTTAAAACATCGAAAATCAGAGTACTATTCATGTTGTTCCTCCGTACTTCGTCACAAGACGTTTTCCTTTTATGTAGATATAACTGAAGATCCATCAGAATATACAACGAACTTGAAAAGCTATTTTTAAGCATTGTTACAAAAAACATTGTTCTTATAAGTTACGGCTTTAAAAAACGAAGGTTGTCGAGGCAATGTAAACAAACTGTTCTATTATTAGTGATGAAGAACACGTTAGCTTGCTGTCTTTTTGATCTCCATTTTAATTTGTTCACTGCTCATTCTAATATTGAATGAAAGCTTCCTAACAATGATCAGTATGTGTGTTTACATACCTCTGATCCGAGATTAGCATGTGTGTGTTTACATACCTCTGATCCGAGATCAGTATGTGTGTTTACATACCTCTGATCCGAAATCCTTAAACAAAAACGTCGGCAGTCTAACGTGATCTTCGGGTAAATAGTAGGTTTGATCTGCCCCCCCAGTGGCGTAGCGGTATGTCTGCGGACTTACAACCAACGCTAGAAACTGGGTTTCGATACCCGTGGTGGGCAGAGCACAGATAGCTCTTTGTGTAGCTTGTGCTTAACTTCAAACAAAGGTTTAATTTTCTTATGCTATTTTTAATGCGACTAGGTCAACTAGAGACGGGTTTAGTTTGATCACGTACGACTGGAAATGCATGGATTAAGATTAAAAAATATTTGGCAATTAAGACAAGTATTTCTATCACGGTAGCAGGTTGGTAGCTGTTATCTTAATATTCGGTTGTAATCTGAATAATATCTCACAACATATGGCTAACTTAAGAGAATGAGATTTTAGGTTAGCTCTAAATCCATATATTAAGCCATCGTACAATGTTTATATAATGATTTGTATTAAAACTATTTTATTCTGGTATCTTCTATTCTATTGAAAAGATACTCAGTATAATTTGTTTGTTTGTAATTTGGATATTTGCGCACAGCTACTTCAAATTAGGAATTATATTTGCTGTCCGTCCCTAGTTTCAAACCGGTAGATTAAAGGGAAGATAGACAGTCAACAGCACCATTAATTAACTTTTGGGAGGCAGTGTAGTGGGATATGATCGTCACACTTATAACACATAAATGGCTGAAATATATTTTTGAAAAAAAAGTAGCGTTTGTTTTGTATACGTTTTTTCCATACATTTCCAATTTTACCTCACGACGAAACGCTGAACGGTGTTCTGCAGTAAAACTGATTGTTATTGATGAGCTGCATCTTACCTGTAAAGCTTTCGTTGATACTGTTGGACAGAGACTCCACAGTAATAGAAAAGTACACAGGTTGCTAGTCGTGTACGAAACCTGCATATTAGAATTACTTTCTAATAGAGTTTTTTTATGAAATCTTTTTTTGCTAAAATATAATCTCAGAAAATCATATGTTTACTTCTGAGCGGAGTAATACACACACACAGGCAGCTTCGACTTGATATAATGTTAGGAACACCAACGTATCTTACATCTAAACAGACAACATGTGGTTGTTACGTGGCATGAAATTTTCTATTATACAGTAGTATATAACAGGTGGAGAAATAGCTGTGTATGAATCGGAAAAGAACATCTGTTTGATAGAAGAGGAAGGTTGATATGAAAGGTCAAGTAATTTATAATAATTACAATATAATATTGTTGCAAATAGTCGTGAAATATTTCACAAAAATTATATAATGAAATGTTAATTTATATTATAATTTGTAACTGATGCCCAGTGGAGCTAAAAGAAACAACGCGCATGTGACTAATAACCTAGACATGCGCAAAATGAAGTACCTAAAAACATTATACAAGAACAAGTGAAGACTAATTCAGCAAGGTTCCAAACTGGGCAGAAAATAGTTATAGTTTGTATTTCTTTTTTTTTCAGTTGTTTATGCATGTTTAACTGCTCTATACCGACATTTTGGTTAATGTTTTTATTTATACACTAACTACACTCCAAACTTATTTGTCTAGAAATTATGTAGAATCACGCAATACCAACGTCATTTATAAAATAACGTGCAAAAAGCTTTCGAACGAACATTGTAATATCTTTTATAGAAAACTAAAGAGCAGATAAATTTTATATGGATATAAAATCACTTATACATTAGATGTTTGGTTTTAAATAAAACTAAATTATCTGATTTAAACATAAAGTGTTTTCGTTCAACTAAAGTCTTAAGTTAAGAAAAGATGGGTGTTGCTCATTCATAAATTAGAACAGGAGAGTTGTTGTTGTTGTTTAAAGAACGCCACTTTAGGCTGTCTGTTGTATCCACCGTGGGGAATCGAACCCTAAATTGTAGTGTTGTAACTCCGTAGACTTATCGCTGTCCCACTGGGTAAATAGGATATGTAACAAAAGGGGAAATCCTTAAGAATA